GGAAGGGTCGCTACGCTTCTGTGTCTATGATAGAATTTTAAAATCTTATTATGATGATGTTAATTTGTTAGGAAACAAATTGTAGATATGTCCATTATGTCAGTGGCTTGGCCATTTTAAGTATCAAACTTACAGAAGCAGCTAAAATAGATCTCAATGAACATATTGATCATTTTGTAAAATTAAAAGCATGAATAAAAAACCCAGATCTAAATAAATCATGAACAATTTTTAAAATTGTGTTTGGTTAGTGGCGTCACAATGTCGGATGTTCCCCTGTGTGTTTACTAAAGGTGTCACCCATCGTTCTAAAAAAAAAAGCATTTTCGGTGGGGTGTGAGCACTCTCTCATTAATACAACATAGTTTTGACAGTAAACTGTACAATGTTCTGTTAAAATGTCAAACATAATTGTTGTCATCTGATGTGTACAGCACTCCTGTCCACCGCCTTGTGACGCTACTTTGTTTGGTTACTTAAAAAAAACAACACATTAACTGTAAGCCTGTAATATTTTTCAAAAACTACGGGATAGTAGCAGTAGTAGGCCTACATAATAATATAGTATAAATACATAAACAGAACGTATAAATAAATGTACAGAATATTTCTATTATTTATAACTATCCATCGAAAGTAGCAGTTGATCTCTTCGTTTAACTGATAAATTTTGCATAAGGGCCCGACATATCTTAGCTATGTCACAGTACAAATCCTTATAATTAGCAGAGCAACCAATAGATAAAAAAAAACTTCCCTTTGTAAATGACGTCCTAATATCTATGTGGTAAGGATGTCGCTGATGTGAACATCATCGAAATATCCAAAATATTGAATATCTGATTCTTTAATGGCATACTCGTAATTGTATTCGCGCACATTTTTGTGGTTGATCTGAATACAAAAAAAATGTACCAATGGTTTAACGTGTAAAATGTGACTAAAAATAAAGATGGACGGTTTAATTCCACTTAACTTTCAATAATAATGATATTGTTATTTTATTGACCTTAATTGACATTGGTAGCAATGTGATCTCCAGTTGAAATGTTACGTTGACCAGAAATGTGTGATTAGGGTATGTCTGTGCTGTTCCCCAGGTGCCATTATTCCTGTCATCTATGACTACATCTTTTGGATAATTAAACCTGACCATGAAAACGAAAGCTATATCTTCCACTTCGACCATGGCAGTAGCGTTTTCTTTTAAGCCAGTGCTAGCAAGGTAAATTCCAAACCTGATTTACGAAACAAATTAGAATAAAATTATAATTTAAAATAGTATATAACATATAGTAAGCAGGATACTAATCCACCCCCCTCCCTCTCGACATTTACCCTCTGAAATTTTTCCCACACATTACATATACCCAGGTAACTACTCTCTTATCAAATACTCACTTTCCAAATTTGGAGTAAGACTTTTGGACATATCTATTACAAACTGTTAATGGACCTTCTGCTATTAAACATAATCCTAAATATTAAGGGATATTAAGGTTAGGACTAATGATAGCGGTAGTGGTAAGGAGAATAAGCTTTTACGCTATACTTAATTTGAATATTTAAATGCTATTTTAATTACCTTATGGAAATCATAATTTTAATGGATGAGTATGATTAACTCCTTTAATGAAAACCTTTCTAGATAGTCAGGCGAAAGAATGGAGAACAAATTGAAACTTTAGACTTAAAAAAAAAATCACCCACCTTAATGCTAATGATTAAGAACAAAATGCAATTACCCTACATCGTTGTCAGTTGGGAATCCATTAACAACGATCTTTTCTCCAACAGGGTTGACTTTAAAATCGATTTTTTTCGGCTATAATTTAAAAGATACTATTTTGTTTTCTTCATATATATATATATATATATATATATATATATATATATATATATATATATATATATATATATATATATATATATACATATATATATATACATATATGAAGGGCTCAGTGGAAAAAGTACTTAAGTTACATTTTTTCAAAAATGAGTTAAGACCGGTATATTATTTGACTACCTCCCCTTAACCATCCCTGTAAATTTGGGCCATGGAAAAAGTACCGAAGTAGCTTAATTTGAATACTCTGCATCAGCTGTTTTGGTATTTTAATAACAATTTAAAAACTTTGCACTCATTTTTCTCAAAACTCTCAAAATACACTTAAGTACTTTTTCCACTGAGCCCTTCATATATACATATATATATATATATATATATATATATATATATATATATATATATATATATATATATATATATACATATACATATACATATATATATATACATACATATATATATATATATATATATATATATATATACATATATATATATATATATATATATATATTATATTTATATACGACAAATCCCCGAATGACAATTGCCCTAACACCTTTCCCCTGCCTGAGCCACTGTTCTAATTAAACTGCCATACGATTGCTTGTTTGTTTGAGAAATTTTAAGAATTTTGTTAAACCTTCCCAATGCGGCCTTTTTTGATGACCTTGCAAAATATCTAAAATTTAGTGCAATTAATATAAATATTTTGTCTGTTACAGCATGCTGTGTGCAGTCCTAGGTGCTTTGACCACAGGTGCTTTGACCATAGGGTCAAAGCACCTGTGGTCAAAGGTCCGTGCACCCTGTGTGCAACATTTTCAAGTGTTGAGTGTTGAGAGGAGTATTCTGAATATATATGTATACATTCATATATATATATATATATATATATATATATATATATATATATATATATATATATATATATATGATAAAGTAAGATAAATAGATTTATACTTACTGGTAGATGAAACTGAAATGTAAGGTTTATGTATGTATCTATACCTCATTGTAGGACTATCTATCTATATCTCTATCTTTCCATAAATATATATGTATATATATATCATGCGGCGTCAAAACGGCCAATTTCAAAACGGCCCCGTCAAAACGACCCCGACAAAACGGCCCCGTCAAAACGACCCCGTCAAATCGGCCCCGTCAAAAGGGCCAGCGACATATGGACCCCGTCATATAGGCTCCTGACAAATAGGCTCCCGTCATTTAGGCTACCGACAAATAGGCTCCAGTTATATAGGCTCCCGACAAAAGGGCTCCAGTCAATAAGGCTCCTGACAAATAGGCTCCCGTCATTTTGGCTCCCGACATTTAGGCTCCCGTCAGTGGCGTAGGCAGGGGGGGGGGGCTAGGGGGGTTATACCCCCCATGTACCCCCAATATGACTACCTTTTTACGCTAAGCTACAGCTATTGACTTGTGTCGATATTATTTAGGGCTTAAACACTAAACACTTAAGCCTGGCAGCCTCTAGAACAACAATGCATATCATTGTGATGAGAATTGCCTGTAGAATTTAGTTACGATTTTTATTATCGTGCTAAAGTAATGTATAATAATCTGGAACGCAGTAGGCCAAGGGAAAGTTGGCCAAGGTTAGATCAGTTAAGGAGTGTCGAATGGGGAGGGGTGGGCTACGGTGGGTAGGCCTTTGTTGTCTAATATGCTTGTAGTGCAACCGGAAAGCGTCTAGAAATAAAAAAAAAACAACAACAAAGGAATTGATTATTATTCGCATTGAGGTTCTATAATGTGTATGTTTTTACTACTTCAAAACATTTGAAATTCATTTCACTAATGGCGGATTAAACAGGGAAGTTAAAAACTATTTAATTTTTGAAAAGATAAGTAAACTGAAAATGATAAAGATGGCAGAGGACACAAGGATATCAGTTAAAGGGTGTGACAGGGGGGTGAGTGTGGGTTTGAATATGGGTACGTCTCAATTACTACAGGATGCACATCTGGCAGGAAAGCGTGGGCTTGACCCACAATTGTTGACGCAAAACTTAGTGTTGGTAGATATAAAAACTGGTTAAATATAGATGTAGAGCCAGGAACCTACAGTAGTCATTTTTAGACAGTCAGAAAAGAAAGACCAATAATTATTTATTTTCATTTTCGAATAGTCGTGTTTTAATGTGTATCTTTTTGATACTTAAAGCAATTTAAATTCATTTTAATGATGTCGGATGGAAAAAGGGAATTAAAAACTACTTTATTAACTGATTTCTTTACAAAGAAAAGTAAAACTGAAAATGATAAAAATGAAGATGATACTATTGCTTCTCAAACTACATTACATCAAGAAATTTCCATAAATTCAGCACCTTTGAATGTTTCTTTTGCAAATGATATCGGTAATTTTATCAAAGGAGTTATTACAGATGATACACGGTTGTATTTATTAGAAAACATCTGGCGTCCTGATGAACGTTTTAAATTTCCAGCAAGCGGACAAAGAAATTTAAAGTTTCAATATTCGTGGCTACTTAGGTGGAACTGGTTGACATATTCCAAATTACTTGATGGCGCATTTTGCAAATATTGTGTTTTGTTTAGTTTGAATTATGGTGGTGTGGGTAGTCAGCCTTTAGGTAAGTTATCAAAAATTCCATTTTCAAACTGGAAAAAGGCAACAGACAAGTTTAATGAGAACCAGCAATGTGAATATCATAAAAGAGCAATTTTACTTTACCAAAATCGTAAATCGGTTATGAAGAAAAAAATAGAACCTATTAACATCGCCTTGAACTCATCATTAAGTCAACAAATTCTAGAAAATCGTTTAAGGTTAGCTCCCATAATAGAAACTATAATTTTTTGCGGCCGACAAGGTCTTGCACTTAGGGGGCACAGGGATTTCGGAAATTTTCAGTTGGAGGATCCTGACGAAAATGATGGAAATTTTCGAGCTCTTTTGAGATACAAAGCAATGGGTGGAGACGAAACACTTAAACGTCATCTAGAAAATTCATCAAAAAATGCATGATACTTAAGTCCCACCATTCAGAATGAAGTGATAAATGTGTGCAATAAATTAATTGTTCAAAAGATTGTTGCGAAAATTACTTCTGTTAAATTGTTGTCTGTCTTAGCCGATAAAACTAGTGATATAGCTGGTATGGAGCAATTTTCGTTATGTGTTCGCTACTATGATCACGACATAAAGAAAATAAGGGAGGATTTCCTTGAGTTTGTAGGTGTAACTGATCTAACAGGCAAAGGACTTGCAAATGTTTTAATGGACACTCTAGCAAATTTACACATAGACGGTAATTTTATGATTGGTCAAGGATATGACGGAGCCGCTGCAATGAGTGGTCGACTTCATGGGGCGCAACAATATGTTGCTGAGAAATTTCATTTGGCTATTTACGTACATTGCGCATCTCACAGTCTAAACCTAGCACTTTCTGATGGCTGCGAACTACCAGCTGTGAGAAACTGTATGGGAATTCTTAATAGCACATACAACTTTTTTAACACACCAAAACGACAATCTTTGCTTGCAAATTCAGTAGAGAAATTAACACCTAAAGCATCAGCATCTCGACTTAAGCGATTGTGCGCAACCAGATGGATTGAGCGTCATGAGTCTGTCAACGTTTTTATACAGCTTCAAAAAGCAACTGTTGATTCACTGGAAATTATGTCATCCTGGCACGATACAACAACTTCTTCAACAGCGGTTCAACTTTTAGGAGCAATTAGGAGTCTTGAGTTTCAAGTTTCTCTTAGAGTTATCTCAAAAATCTTTGCAATAACACTTCCTGTCAGCAGAATACTCCAAACAGAAAACTTTGATCTATCTGCGGCTCTAAAATTTACAGAAGATTCAAGTAGCCTACTGGTAAATATGCGGAAGGATCCTGAATCAGAATTTACTACCGTATTTAATGAAGTCAAAGACATTTGTGAGGACTTCGATATAGATATACTTATTCCACGTCGAGATGGAAAACAAATTCAACGCTGCAATGTGATGGCAAATACGCCTGAAGAGTATTACAGAATAGCTGTATTTATTCCTTTCCTTGATTCGGTTATATGTCAAATAGGAGACAGATTGCTAAAACATAAATCTGTTTTGAGAGGTTCTATGTGTCTTTTACCCAATGACTCGGGTTTTACCAAAGAACAGGAAAATAATGCCATAATACTTATGCAAAAATATGAACGTTTGATTAACTGCAGTGTCATCGCTGAAAGCATTGGAGAACTGAAACTGTGGTGGCGCCACATTATTACAAGTGGAAATGTACCGCAAAACGCTCATCAAGCTTTTTTAATGTGTGACGTAAAAATATTTCCTACTGTATAACAACTACTGCAAATATTTGTAACATTGCCTGTAACAACTGCCGTTAGCGAACGCTCTTTTTCCACTCTCAGACGGCTAAAAACGTACTTGCGAAATACTACTTGCGAGGATAGACTAAATGGATTGGCATTATTAAAGATTCACCGAAAAATTGAAAGTTTAGCGGATGATATTCTTGATGAATTAGCCAAGAGTCCAAGAAGACTTGAACTACGATTGCAGGTAAGTAATGTTATAAGTACTTTTATCTGTTTGCTGTGTTCTAGTATTGTTACTGCGTCTTCTGAATTTGTTATATATATATATATATATATATATATATATATATATATATATATATATATATATATACATATATATATATATGCAGCCAGGATCGTCTCATGGGGGGTTCTAATTTTATATATGCAGCCAGGATCGTCTCATGGGGGGTTCTTCTTCTTCTTCTTCTTATATATATATATATAATGCTGGAAAAAATTAGAACCCCCCCCCCATGAGACGATCCTGGCTACGTTACTGGCTCCCGTCATTTAGTTTTTTTCCACAAAACGGCCCCCGTCATTACGACTCCCGACAAATAGGCTTCCGCCATTTAGTTTCTCCACAAAACGGCCCAGTCATTACGACTCCCGACAAATAGGCTAGCGTCATTTTGGCTCACGACAAAAAGGCTTCTGCCAATTTGGCTCCAGACAAAAGGACCACTGACAATACCGTTTCTGTAGAGACTAAGTCTCCCGGCAAAGCGGTCTCATTGAATATGACAACTGCCAGTGGGACCCCTTCATCAACATTCTTTAGAGTTAGCTTATTCAACACTCTTATGTAATACAATCAGGGGCGGAATTACAGTGCCGCCAGACCCCGCAATGCGGGGGGGGGGGGTGGAGGGGCAAGCCCTTTAGGGGCCCACAGCCGACCATAATTAAAACAATATATAGTTAAAAAATATAATTTTCTTGCATTTTTAACTTGATGGTTGTTATGTAAAAAGATTACTATAGCTGCGATTGGATTATCTTTATTATATAGACACCACACCACGCTCTTGTATTCTTTTTCCCTTTGTTTTTATACCACTGTGAAAGCCGAGTCCTCCATCTCCTACAATCAAACTTATCAAAGATAAGCAAACGTTCAAACCACTTCCATGACTTATTTCCCTTTTTTAAATAGTCAAATAGGGGTGCTCGTCAGCTCCTTTAAATAGATTTGCACTAAACAAATTAAAAAGTAATTACTTCTCTTAATAATTATTTTTAATAAAGTAGTTACTAAAGAATGACATTGTACTAAAAGGAAATACATTTAAAATTAATAATATAAATACAAAAAAAACATGAAAATAAACATAAAACGAGACACCATAACTTATACAAAGCTTTAATGTTTTATATACTTTTGACCGACTAGATATTATGAGATCTGATAGCAGAGATAAAATAAACTAGATATTTTAAACAGCCTATTACGCCTACCTAGGAGCAATCTTAGGTAGGATGTTCCGTCCCAACACAATTGAACCTATACTCAAAGCTCTATAGGAATCAATAAAAGAAATGATAAAGAGAAAATAAAGAAGCAAAATTAAAAAAGAAAATAAGGAAGCAAAATTAAAAGAGAAATTAAAGAAGCAAAATCATTGAAGATACTGAAAGGCAAGAAAAGATAAAATGAAGGAAAGTAAAGACATTTTGAAACAAGAAGTAACAAGGATCAAGACGGAAAAGCAGATTCAAGAAAAGGAACTAAGGTCTAAAGGCAAGAAAGTAAAGACAAGAAGAAACAAGAATCAAGACGTGAAACTGATTGTACATTGTATGCTATTTCATGTAATTTTCATGTAATAAAAATGCGACCTATCCGCACAGTGAGCTCCTTGCTCGAGTGGAGTAAACTGTGTGGAGGGAAAATTATAAAAAAAAAACAAAAAAAAAAAACAGCCTATTGCACTTACACACATGACATGTTGTAATTTGCTTAAATTGAAAAGAAAAACAATTATTTTCTCAAAACCCGAACAGGCCAGCAATGAGAATCCTATGTTCTTATTGTGTGGCCAATGTTCTATCTAGACTAAGTTGTGATCGCGTTTTCATTATTCTGGGTGCGGCTTCATTGTGAGTAACGTATTGTTTAGCTCTTGTTTGTATAGCGTTCTATATGCAAGGCGACATGGACCAAAAGGGGCCGTCAGACCATGTTAGTTTCCATATATGGGCTACAACTGTATGTGACAGCCTCCTCCATGATAACGAGGTGAGACAATCATCAAGAAAGGGCTTGTTTCTAAACACTTGTTATTTAAAGAATTTAACTCAATATGCCAAGTAGATCTTATTGATATGCAATGTAACCCAGACGGCAAATACAAGTTTATACTCAGTTACCAGGATCATTTAACCAAGTTCATATTGTTGCGAGCTTTGGAAACCAAAAGAGCAGAAGAAGTTGCTTACCAGCTGCTGGATATCTTCACGACTATTGGGGCCCCAAGTGTGCTTCAATCAGATAATGGAAGAGAATTTGTGAATCAAGTTATTTCTGAACTAAAGAACATGTGGCCTGAACTTAAACTAGTTCACGGAAAACCAAGGCATAGCCAAAGCCAAGGTTCAGTCGAACGTGCTAACCAAGATGTTCAAAACATGATGATGACATGGGTGCAAACAAATGAATCAGCTCATTGGGCTGAGAGTCTCACATTCATTCAATTTAAGAAAAATCGTTCTTTTCATAAAGGAATCTAACAATCGCCATACGAAGCAAAAGTGGGACTTAGCTCTTCAAATCTACCACGAGAGGCTCTCGATAATTTAGTTACTGAGGAAGAGCTTGAGAACATTGAACAAGAAATGGAGGTTGCCATAAATGCAACGACATCCTCAGCTAACACATCTGCTGCCGTGGCGGAGCTTCCAGACCAGTTGCGTGACAATAATGTGGCCAACAGATTCTGTATAGTTTGTGAAAAACATTGTAGTGCAACCCATTCTTGTGGATCCTGTGGCAACGATGTCCATGCAATTTGTGGAATACCCAATGAGGGAACATTACCTGCAGATTGTGTCACAACAAACAAGACATCATGGAACACAGGTCAGCAGCTCATACTGGCTTGCAAACTCAAGGTGCTAAGATGCTTAAAACATCAAATACAAACTTTAAAGATGGTGAAGTGGGTGACAATCTACGCATCCGTGTTTCAGATGTTCACAGAGGTCGAGGTGATCCTCGAAGCGTGATTGCAGTTGTCATGAGTGTCGAGGGCGGTTTCTACAAATTAGGAACGGAACATGGTGTTCTAAAACAACTGTATGCTAGAAGTGAGTTTTCAATTCTTCTCGAAAAACTGCTCTTATTGTCGTCAGTTGGCACTGAGGAAAAATCACTACGAACCATCGCAACTTCACAATCATTGACTGAATGCCAAGGCTACACTCGCTGCAATTGCACAACTAAGTGCACAACAAATCGCTGCAAGTGTAAAAATAGCAAGCTGCTATGTAATTCTAAATGCCATAAAAGTTCATTGGCCGACTTCGGGCCATATATATAACATATGTAACATATATATACTAGCTGCATCCCGTGCTCCGCAACGGTAAATCTTTTTTAAATGTACCAACTTGGGAACAGAACAAAACTAAACACAACACAAACGAACGCAAAAAAAAACACAGACGAAAAAACAAACACAACACTCATACCAACATAAACACATCTTAAATGTAATCATAAAGGCATATTGCTCACAGTCTAGCCCGTAGCGCCAAATCGCGCCCTTTTTGAGCGCCGGCGGACGCGTCTGACACAGTAAATTAGGCGTAGCGACTCTTCCCGGCGCCTGGAGACAAACTTTCGATTGCACCCCCCCCCCCCTCAAACTTTTGATTTTCACCCCTTCCCCTCAAAACTTTCAATTTCCACCCCACCCCCTTAAACTTTAGCTTTGCACCCCCCACCCCCCTCCCCCAAACTTTCGATTTGCACCCCTCCCCCGCAAATTTTCAATTTGTTTTTCCAACCCATTTTGGCGCCCCCTAAGGTCAGCGCCCGCAGACATTTTCCCCTTCCCCTTGCTACGCCTCTGCTATAAAACCCCTAGCTTGTCCGCAAACCGAAAGATGAAATAATAATTAGTAAACAATACGTTCAGTGTATAAAATAAAAGCAGTATTTAGAATATCCGTGTTTTACCGACCATACTGCACTTTATAAATTTATGCATTTTTTCAGTACTTTTAAAAATGTACAATAAAGTTTCATGACTAAAACCATTGCGCACCTAATGAACGTGATGACTTAATATAGTAATGGAGAATAGTTGATTAAAAATTATAATTAGTAAACAGTACATTCAGTGAATAAAATAAATAAAAGATAGCCTTTTATCAATCAATGCTAATAATAAAAAGGGCATAATTTGCATTCACATTTTGCTAATTATATTATTCCAACAATTATTCCGTCTTGCAGATTTTGCATTCACATTTTTAGCGTGAGTTCAATTTATCTTTGAATTACCTCCATTGGCAAAATTACTAAGAAGTTTAATTAGATTTTTCTATCGTACTGTTATTATGTTATTAATATGTATCCACTTTTTCTGGGAATATTAACGAAAACGATATTTGACATTGATCCTTTTAATATGTTTTAGCAATGTGCGTGTATTTAATATTCTCTTTACGTTATGCAAAATTGTACAAACAGTGGAAATTATAAAATAGCTCTATGCCGTTATATAAACAAACCCTACTCTATTTTATAATAAGACACTGCGGTGCACTGAAAAGCACTGCATGGTGCGATGTTTACTTTTATGGTTCCAAAATCTATAGCGATGACAGAAGGAAGGACTGACACACGCTCAGCCCGCTTATATTATATATATATATATATATATATGTATGTATGTATATATATATATATATATATATATATATATATATATATATATATATATATATATATATAAGTCGATTGGTATATTG